GCGCGGACGGGGTCCGGCCCCCCGTACCCCCCCGTCCCGTACTACGCCCTCCGTCTCTTCCTCCTCACTTCCTTCCTCTACTCTCTTCTTCTCTCTCTCTTCTCCCTTCCGTCCTCACTCTCTCTCTCTCTCTCTCTCTCTCTCCTCTATTGTATTGCTTGTAATCAAGATTCTGCTGACAGTCGACTGAATGTCTGTCGCCACGCTTAAGTCACCATATTTGCATTACGGGGACATTGCTCGCAGCTTGATGACAAGTCTGAGCCAATTAAACCGCTTTTTTCACTAATCCAATCAAGAATCTAGGCCTGCAGCCACAAACGTCAACTAATTTCGAACACCGCGGACCTAAATTAAGACTAATTAAGTTGCACGACCCACTAACAATGTCAATTATAACTTGCTGATGGCGATGCAGCCGTGAAATTTGTGGACAAGCGACGGACAGGTGGAAGCGAGGTGAGAAATATTAAACGGACGAATAAAGTGGTTGCATTTACGAGTAGAGTTCGTGTCTGCCCAGTTTCTAATCTCGCGTTGTTGTCGTTCTCTCTTTTTTGCTCGCCTCGCAGATATTGTTAAGGTAAGGTCTGGACTTCAAAATGACGAATTTAAATTGGCCACTCGCTCTCACTATAATCAGGGTGCGAAATTAACGTGAGTCCGTGGTCAAATACTTCCTGATTTACTGTCAGACTACCTGATTTGACGTATGCAGGAGTCTGTGTGACTCTCTGAAAATTCTGCCATACTAACTAGCCTCGCGGAATTACCGTATTTTTTCAGCTAATGTCCAAAGAAAATTTGGCAGACGTGCAACCGCATGAATCCTAAAAGTAAGCACATGCTTTATTAAAATATCTTTAATTTTGAACCCCAGACTGTGGACTCCCTCATTTTGCTGCGGACTCCTTCTTTTTGAGGGTAAGGAGTCCGTTGGACTCCCGTGTTCAAAAGTTAATTTCTATATCTGCTATTATGTATGAATTGAATCTAATGCGTTAAGGTTTCATATGTGGTGTATACAGTATGTCCACGCGTTCCTCACCTGATAGCAGTACCACCTAGGGTTTCATATCCTATAGGTTTACATCGTCAGAGCTCAAATTACCTCGATTCGCATCAAAATTGGCAATTAATTTCACGGCCAGTGCGAATGAAACAATGCCGTGCGTCGTATAAATACGATTCACATGAAAAATTCCGCGTTAGGAGACACATCCCTTTTAGAAAAGCTCTCGCATTCGCTCTCCTGACATTTTTACCTCACACGCAAGCATAAACTCTCATTGCTCGTCTGAAATAATTTCTAGTAAACGGCTGGACAATGGGACGTGAATGATTTTTTATATTCGCAACCGTTCTTCAATGCCATGCCACAGGACTCGCAGTGTTAGTTGTTCTAGGTTTCAATGCAGTGCGGCAGTAGAGTGCAGGTCTAGTAAAGGCTGTATACATCATAGGTCTACACGCGAGACAGCCGGGTTCTTATAGTTGTACAGTGATTTCCGCCTTTTAAGCCTCGGATAAACGGGCGCATCGCTTAAACGACATGTCTTTGATTACCAATCCACTTGCACCGAAGCACTTTGTTAGGTACACGTCGATATGCGTAGGAAAATGTTCACTACTTAATTGAGAGCACAGCTTAATGGTGGTCATTTTCATGGTTTCCGGCCTGCCCCGATTAAGCGGGGAACCACCGTAGGTAGTATATGCTGGCAATAATTATTGATTTTCGTTAGGTATTCGCGTTAAGTGAGATATGTATGCGTTAGTGTTCTCATCGATTTACTGTCACACGCCGATCCTAGCATCGACCAGACTACTCTAGTTACTCAACCAACAATAGTAGTAGAAGATTTCCCACTAGAGTAGGAAACCGCTTTGTGCTTTGACTTGAAGATTGTCCAGTATGATTGCCCTGATAGCGATCATGTCCCTAGCTATCAGAGAGAGAGAAAAAAACAAGTGCGTTACTATGTAAAGTAAAGTAAACGTAGGCCTACTATGTATGTCTTTTGTGCGTCATTTGGGCCCCCATAGTCTAACACTGAATCGCGTGTATGCCCGACAGTGCGGAGTAGATATTTCATTTTGCGCATTAGGAAAATGCAATTAAACCTGGTGACACTTAATGGAAAGAAACTGACCGTCCTGGAATATCGGAAATGTGTTTTTGCAACGAGAATGCCAATTCTAGCATGTTTGGTGGTGTAATGCAACTAGCCCTGTATTGATATAGTATTGTAATGATATTATGTAATATGTATGTGGAATATAATCAGGATCACTTGAATCTATTGATTATATTTATCACGTGATCTATTCGTATTCATGTACCCCTGATATAGTTCCATACTGTGGTTTTATGAGTGTACGGCGTACTCAAGAAAAATTTAGTACGGTGCTAGCTATCAGTTCATGAAGAAATGCCATGGTAACTAATAGAGCAAATATGTAGTAGCACCGTAGTAGTTATATATATTTGCAGTATATATTTCTAGTAACATATTTGCAGTATAACTTTGAACAAGGTGGTATGAAACAAGTGATTTAGTAGCTTACGTAAAAGGACGTTTTAGAATGTAAAAGAAAGAATTTCTCAGTCTTTGAGAGTATAATATTTAGCAGGAATCCCCCCCCCCCCCGAGCGATGAGGGAAACGATCTCAAGCCCGTCTGCTATTTTCACAAGGCAAGCTTTGCCGCAACTTTCCTCGTGAAACTCATGCGGAACGCGTCTGTCCACGCGTTGGCTAATAATTTAGCAATTATCAAAATGACTACCATGCTAATCATATACGTTAATCTGTTCGCAATTTTAGCTATAAACTATTTTAAAAGCACTTTATCCTAAGCAAAAAAAAATAGGCTATCAGTATCATTATGAAATTTAGTTGCTATCAATCTAAATCTGGCGTGCGTGGGGGCGTGTATATATATACCTGATACGCGTAGGTTGTAAATGTATGAGGGCGTAAACGGAGTGTGAAAGGGAGTGGGATATAAACGACGCGCGGTCGTCTGCGCTGCGCTAACATGACAATGGCACACGCGATTCGAACGCAGACAAATACCGTAATTTCCTATCGTCGAAACCCGAGCCGATGCGAAGTGAGGCATATCACGCTTCGCCGCTTCCGTTGCTAGCTACGTAGGCACCAGTTGCCGTGGCGTGGTCCGTGCGTGCGAGTTCTCACTCGCTCTCTCTCTCTCTCCCTCGCTCTTTCTCTCTCTCTCTCTCTCTTCCTTTCTCTCTCTCTCTCTCGTCTCTCTCTCTCTCTTCTCTCCTCTCTCAGTCTCTCTCCTCTCGCCTGCTCTCTTCTTCCGTTCGCTCGCTTCGCAGGTCGCTCTCTTCTTCTAATCTCTATCTCTCGCTCCATCCTCCCTCCCCTGCCTGCTCTCGCGCCCCCCCTGCTCTCTCTGCTCTCGGCTGCGCGCGTGTCGTCTTCTTCTCCTCTCTAAGCCTTTCGCTCATCCTCCTCCTCTCTCCCTCCCTCTCTCTCTCCCGCCTGCTCTCTCTCTCTCTCGCCGTCGCTCTCTCTCTGTGTCGGCTCTCTTCCGTCTACTCTACCTCTTCGCTTCATCTTCCTCTGCCCTTCGACCTCCCTGTTTCCTCCTCGCTCTCCCCTGCTCGTCTCGTCTGCTTTCTCTCTCTCTCTCTCTCTCTTCTCTCGTGCGTCTCATCTCTCTTTGCTTCGCTCTCCCTTTCCTTACGCTCGGTCTCTGTCCTCTCATCTCGCTTCAGTAGTATATATATTAATATATATATATATATGATGATATATATATATAGTATATATATATATAATATCAGACAGTGTATAATAGTGTATATATATGCCGGTGCTACGCAATTTACCAGGAAAAGGAGGTAGCTCAAACATTACCGAAGCTATCTGAAATATTAACTATCTGAATGAACATAGCGGCACAACAAATACTGTGAGGGTATAATAATAAAATATAATAATAGATAATAATAAATAAAATAATAATCATAATAAAAATACTGTGAGGGTGTGTACAGTTATTTACAGGCCCGGCATCGCTCCAGCTTGTCGGCTTCTCGCTCCCCTACATCGTGTTTTTGTTTCTCCCCGTTTATCTATAGTGCTACCGGCGGCGAAAGATGGCCTGGACGTGACGGACAACGTTCGCTGGACAGCAACTGACCTTCCGCGACGGAGGAGAGGCGGTCTCGACGACTCCCTACCGGTCACTCTTGTCCTCGCGTGCAAGCCGCCCTGTCAGGGGGACGGATGACCACCGCAGCTGTGCTGATCGAGCTGTGAGCGTGGACGTGGCGCGACGCTGGAGAGTTGATGCACTGCTGGAGCGAGAAGATAACGAGAGGAAGAGGCAGCGGATGATCACAAGGGGAGAGGAGGAGGAGGAGGAGGAGGAGGAGGAGAGAATGGGGAAGCAGAGAATAAGGATGTGTCCGGGCGAGGAAAGAGAAGGGGGGAAACAAGGGATAGGGATGTGACACCAGGGAGAAGAGGAGGGGGAGTAGTGAAGTAGGGGATAGGGATATAACCGGCAGAAGAGGAGAAGGGGGAGGGGGAGGAGAAGACATACCTGTAAGGATTTGATCGGGAGAGGAAGAGAAGGGGGAGTAGTGAAGTAGGGGATAGGGATGTAAGCGGGGAGGAGGAAGTAAGACATGCCATTCTTTCTTCTCTCCTCTCCCTCTCTCCTCTCTCTTCTTCTCTCTCACTCTATCCTCCTCTCTTTCTCTCTCTCTTCCTCTCTCACTCTCTCTCTTCTCGCTCTCTCTCTCTTCCGTTCTCTCTCTCTCTCTCATCTTTCTCTCCATCGCCTCCGTCCCTCTCTCTGTTCGTCGCTCTCTCTCTCTCTCTCTCTCTCTATATATATATATATATATATATAATCACAGCCGCACATGGGAAATTTTAACTCCCTCGCTCGTACGTGCGTTTGAAATGTAAATAATTCCAGGCGACGATGCTGCGGTATAGACGCGTATTTTACTCGCGCGGTTCTAATATTTATACACGCCGAGCACGTCGGTGCTTTGATGAGACATTTTTACGAGCTTTTTTTACGTTTTTCGTCGTCGTCGTCGTCGTCGGCGGCGGCAGCGGCGGCGGCGGCAGCGAATGTTTGTAATATTGTGGGTGGTGTGTATGCGGGGGGCACGTCTGTATGCGCAACTCTTGAATGTACGCGTTTGAAGTCTCAATCGCTCGGCCTACGTATGTAGCTTTCTCTCTCTCTCTCTCTCTCTCTCTCTCTCGCTCTCTCTCTCTCTCTCTCTCTCTCTCTCTCTCGCTCTCTCTCCCTCTCTCTCTCTCTCTCT